GTAACAAAAATAGAGATAATATCTTATTTGTTTCAGATTATCTTCCTGTATTACAAATATGTTTGTGTCAGTTAAATATACCATTGCGTAACAAGTTGTATCGATCATTTTTAAGTCATTTTTGCTATGAAATATACATACCATTAGGTGATGCGATCTTTATTCGGTTAATTAAAATGTTGATTCTCTAATTATTCTGTACTATTCAGTACTACATATCATGATTTAATCGATGATAAACTGCACGAGCCATAATCTATCTTTTTTCGAATTATGGAAATTTATTACGTATGTACATTAACATTCAGTGTAAATCTTTCGATTTTTAGTTAGTACCTCGTACATATAAAGCCTATTTTCTTAAACGTAGGTATAAATAATGACACGTGTGTACGTATCAGCGTCAGATGTTCCGAGAGAAAATTAGAAAGTAAATATTAATGCTAACTTATGAGGGTCAAAAGCACGACCATAAAATGTTTTAGCGAAATGACCGGTTAATGTTGAAACACCTACTGGAATAATGTGGAAAACTACACTTTTCTTGTAACGTATTTTTATGTTTTTACATGAAAACGTAATTTAATAAATATTCAATATTTATACTCGCGATCATGTCTCGTACCGTAAAAAATATTCAAATGAAATATTTGAAAGTCATCGTTCAGAAAAGTGTCTAAACCATGCAAAATGGCTTTCGGATCACTTTTTGATCATTTTAGAAACAACATGTTGTTCGCAATATTTCCAGTTTATTACATGAAAATTTGTATGTTGAAGCATTAATTTTGTTCAATTTCACTACGCGTTTAATAAACTGCTGCATTATTCAAACAAAATCGATGAAACATTACAAAGATTCGAAGAAATTTCAATGTACGCTTTACAGATCGGCGTTTCCAACGAGCACAAAAAATTCGTTTTTATCGAGCTCGAACGATGCGCGACGGTCTTGCCCTTACCGTCTGACCTCTTGGTTTGATGCATATGCAATTCATGTTGTCCTTGCTTATATAACTGAATAATTTCACAAGTTAGGTACATATTTCGTAACTCGTTCAACGGACGGGTTGTGCCTAACACGTTGTCGTGTACACCAATTCTTTTTTCGTAGAATATTTATAATCTTTTTTTCACGATTATACCATTGTTTCAACATTATTGAAACAACTTTTCTTCCAAATATCTTTTATTCTGTTTACGATAGTATTTGAAACATGTGCAAAATGAATTTGTTCGGTTGTACAGTCGGACAAAAGTCTCTGTACATTCTTTAAAGGCGGGTGTCCATCTGAGAGTAAAACTCTCAACAGTTTATGGATAGTCTCGTATATGCGTGACCGCCGCGGCCCCTAGAATTGAGCATTATTCGAATGAAATTTTACTCGATAACATCTCGAACAAATTATTCGAATAAAATTTTATTCGATAAGACAACAATTACATGCATAATATGTTTCTAGAGCTGCTTAAAAAATTAAATTACAATATTTACCTTATAGAAATGAGAAAATTTTATTATATTGGGTTGGCAACTAAGTAATTGCCGATTTGTTCAATGAAATAAAAAATTTTTTTTTACTTGGAATGAAGTTTAATCTGTAATGTATTTTCCATTTTGTTCGATGACTTTTTGCCATCTCTCTGACAACTTGAAAATTCCACGCTCGTAGAAAGTCTGATCCTTTTCGGTCAAAATTTGAGTCAAGTGAGATTTTACAGCGTCATCATCATTAAAAGTTTTACCACGAAGGGAGTTGTCCAGGGATCGAAATAAATGGTAACCCGATGGCGCGAGATCAGAGCTATATGGTGAGTGTAACATCAATTTCCAACCAATATCCATCAATTTTTGCCGAGTGGACAAAGACGTG